AATGTTTCCACACGTTTCAACCCTTTTTTTCATTTACCCAAGTAACGTCCAGCTGAGGCTCTGGAGTCCACAGCCACGATGACTCCATGTCTGAACTTGAAGGCCAGAGTGGTCGTACCGTGGTTCAGGTCAATGCACACACCTCCATCACCTCCATTACAGGACTTGAGAAACCCTGAGGGCTGTAATGTAACCAAACAGTGTGAGTGTGTGTGTGCGTGCGTGCGCGCGTGTGTAAGAGAAGATGACAGTGGATTATCTATCATTACCTAAAATTCTCTGACAATAACTAAATGCATGATAGGACATTTGATACGAGGCTGACACTGAAAACAAGAGACGCGTGAAGTCACCTGCATCACGCTGCGTCTGACGCTTCATGCTCGTGTCAGTTTTACCTGACAGATACCTGAATATTAACTATTAAAAAGTCACGATACTCACGTCTACTCCCAGAGGTACAGAAAATTCTTGAGTTTTGGTCCCAAAATTGTAGTGGTTGGTTCGGTCGACGAGGGGCGTCTGTCCCGCTGGAAGAATGCGCTCACGGAGTTCAGAATAAGACTTAAAACCACTTACTTCGAAAAGAGCCATCGTCTATTAAAATGGATAAACTATAATCTATAAATATTCTATAGTGTATGTGTGTAGGTTTTCCAAAATAACGAAGACGATTGACAAAGCGTCAGGGGTAATTTCCTTGTGCGTAACAAAGAATTCGAAAGTGAAAGGGTTTTTAAACTATTTCACTCCAGATGTTTCCTCTTAAAATAAGATGAAAAACCGGCCAGCAACACAAAACCTATGTGCATCTGTTAATAAATGCACATAGCCAACCGTGCTAGGTTTTCAATTAAAAGTTCCTCGATCAAAATTAATTCAAAAAAACCTCTGTGGTGTTAAAAAAATGGCTCAAACCGAATAAACCAATGAGAAGCTTTGTATTTATCTCATCATCAGTCTCCAGGCGGAAATGCAGCACTCAGGTTCTGGGAAGCCATCAGAGGTCAATGAGATTATTGTTTGCATATTTCATACTTATGAAGAATATAATGCAATCAGGTTAATGACAAAGCAGAATATGTAGAATAAGATAAATTAACAGGAAATGCAGCACAGTGACCTATAGGACTAAAGGTACAGGTACATTGAAATACTACAATGAGACAGTAAATAATTACAAAGTATGAAAAGAAATGAGGCAACAGGGATCAATCTGATTTTTAATTGATTGTTTTTTATTATTCCATATTGTAAAAACATGTTACAACCTTCTCATTACGGCCTTGTAGCTTACTGTAGTGCTGCAGTAACCTCTGCACGGACTCTTCCACATCACAGAGAAGCATAGCAGCAGAGTTGAAAACAGGATGACTGTACTAATCAATCATCAGGTGAATAATGATGCATTGGTTGTACTGCTAAATGTTGTGGTGTGGCTGTGCATCCAGGGTCAGGCTGTATCCATCTGCTGCACGGTCTCCTGGACAACCTCCAGCTTTAAGGGGACTACTTTCTCTGCGAGAACTGGTGTCGTACCTGCACGATATTTGTATTTCATTTTCCTGGATAGACAGACAGATGGATAGATGGATAGATAGATAGATAGATAGATAGATAGATAGATAGATAGATAGATAGATAGATAGATAGATAGAACAAGTCACATAAGTTTTTATATCCTTAATGTTGCATTATCACACTGCCAATAACTCACTGTGAAGGACCTCTGATTTGCAGTCATGGTTTAACATAAAAACTCCTTCAAATACGGATCACTTACTTAACTTACTAAACTCTCTTGTAGATCTCGAGTAACGTCATACTTGTACCTGTTGTCTTTGTACTCTGACTCCTGGTAGGGTCTGATGTAGTCCACTCCTTGTCTGGTGATGACACAGATGTCGATGTTGTTGCCTGAGCCGAGGTCATTCATGATGCCAGCGTGGATGGCAACACTCACCAGCTCCTTGGCCTTCTCCAGCTGAGAGAGTTGAGGGAAATCAGGGAAGTGTTGGTTTTTTTTTTTTTAACATTTTCTCAACTGCTTGTACAATGTAGAGGCTTATTCTGCCTTCAGTACTGCTGTACTGCAATTATTCAATTCAAAGATGTCCAACAGTAAGTGAAGTCATTTTGTGATTGTGTCTAAATGATGATGACAAACAGTGATGTTCACAGTGTGTAACTACAGTTGTCCAGGAGCCATACCTCCAGATCGGGTTTGAACCCGTCCTCTAAAATCCCAAGAGCAGCCAGATCACCAGATCCTGCAGGAACACACAGTAAAGCCAGCTGAAACACAGAGGGGATGTAGTCTCACAGTGACATGCATATCTGAAAACATATAGTCATTTATATAGTTAAATATAAAATAGCAAAGTCATTATCTCTGACACTTTCACATGAAATATTAGCAGTGATAGGTCAGTCTATAGAAACTCTTACATCTGCAGTTTCAAACACCTGGTTTGTTTAAAACCCATTTAATTCACAAAATGACACATTTGAAAGACAAAGACTAAGACCTGAGCAGTGATGGTCGGCACGACTGAACAGACGACCCCCAACTACCCCAACAAAGAATAAAGGAAAAAGATGTCACAGAAACTGTACCATAGAACAGTGTTATATCACATACCCATCGCAAGGTAAGGCACCTTATTTACACTCCCATACGGCCCCACTGTGAACAGGTGGTTCCCAGTGCAATCAACTCCTCCCAGTATAAGATTGGCACCAATTTGGCCGTGATACCTGAGGGCCACAGAGATCACACAAGGGTTTCAATGAACTGTAAATTTACAGAATATGACAGCTACTGTAACATCTTTAATCTTAACTAATGTTATTGTTCACAGTCATTCATTCATACAACCCCTGATACAGGTGCATGTGCGTGTGCGTGTGCAGCACAAACCTGTACAACATGTCCTGTAGGATGTTGACGGCCATGACGACGCGAGGGTTCCTCCCACTGTTCAGCGAGAAGATGGTGAGGTTGGAGGAGAGAAGATCTGTGGTCTTCTCTGTATCTGCTGCTGTACCTGCTCCACAACAGCTAGAGAGAGAGAGAGAGAGAGAGAGAGAGAGAGAGAGAGAGAGAGAGAGAGAGGAAGAATAGATATGTGGATAAAAGATGAGGGGAAAAGAAAGAGGAATATGAAGAGTCATAGAAGGAAAGATTTCAGAGGAGATGGAGAACTACGATGATGGCTTCTTTCTTTAGCCACTATGTTGAATCATCAATCACAGAAATCCATAACACAAAAGATAGTGTGACTTATTTATCTTCTTCTACAGTAGCCTCAACAACCCAGAATGCAATGCAACCACAGAATGCATCAATCTGTCATCAGAAGTGTGTCACTGTTTTCACAAGTCTCTCTCAGCTCTCATGGAACGCCTTTCTATCTAACTGTTTTATAATTCACAACAAATGGAAACGTATTGAACATCCCAGAATGATGACAGTATCTGAAGGTAGATTTCTCCCCTCGTGGTTTCAGTCTAACACTCTTACACTTACTATATATTTGGAGCAATATAGTGGATCTTGGCGCACATCTTGTCGGCCACCACTTCACTGGAAGTGGCTCTTGTGTCTGCTCCCAGCACCACCCCATCCTGCACCAACACAACAAAGTGTATTAGTTCAATAATATTAAAATGAGCCTGGTTTGTTTGAAGATAACAGCTCCATGAAGACACGGCCTCAGTCTCTAACCCTCTGGGTGACCTTTGGGAAAGGCACTAAAACCTCCACCAGAGATAGATAACTGTGAATGAAGTGGGAAGCTCCCACATGAAAATGTCTGCAATTGTATGAATGACTGACGTGTTGTGTTGCACATGCACAAACACACACATGTAGAATGGATAAGTGCTTCCATTACATATAATAACTTAAAGGGCCACACCAGTGTGTTTGCATGTTTAATCCCATTTACTTCAACTGTGGACATCTTACACTACTGTTCACTATTTTCCAACACATACAAAACCATGAGTGATTATACGTTTCACAACTTCCAGGCAGCCATTGGTGAAAGTATGAAAATTAACTGTAGAGATCTTAGAACTATTTTGATACATTTAGACCTTCACTGCATTTATTTTTTTAATCAAAATTGCTTTGTAGAATTACAGGTTAGAACAAGAAACTTCCCGTGTTGTGTTCAGTGATGCTAAACAGCTAAACAAAGCTAAACAGCAACATTTTACAAGCAAGAAACTATTAAATTCACAGTAATGTTTTTGTCCACGTTGGGTTATTGGTGGTCTTTGATTTGATTTTCTGGCAACATAACTTATGCAGTGTGCAGTGCCATTTTGTCATTTGCAGGCTGGAGAGGCCTTGGATGGATGCACTGCCACTGTTACAGCATCATACAAGATAATAACCTTAACAATAGAGGAAACTTACACGTTTGTTCTTTCTGCAGGTTTCTATTTATATTAAACAAGAATTTAAAAAAACAAAACAATGGCTGACGAAAGGTATCAAATCAATCTGGTATCAAGTATCAAATTCATAGCTCATACACTAAAACATACAAAGTCACTGTGTTTTGATCCGTTCATATGTTTGTGAGTGCGGTTTACACAGCTTTGTACTTGCCTTGAACACCACTCCTGCTATGGTGGTACCTGTTTTCAGAGGTTTAGGTGTCTGTCCTCCTTCAAAATGACCCTCTAATGCAGCATTTCTACAGAGAGGGGCAGAGAAAGGGAGGAGGGGGATCAACTGATGAATATAGTATAGTTATAATAACACGTTATCATCGCAGCGTTTCATTGATTTACTGATAAACAAGCAGGAAAAAGTTACTTTCACTTTTGATCCCGATGAAAACTCCGTGTTACCGTCAGTTACATGTTTATTTTAGTCATTTCTGACACAGTGTGATGCTCGGAAGTCTTAAAAGAAGCTCATACCTCGTCGCGTTGTCGAAATTGAAGCCCGCTACAGGGGTCTCGAGGACATTTGATAGCGCCATACTGGATCTGACTGCGGCTTCTCTGCGCGTCTCAGTGCGCCTGAGGTCGCTGTTCTGAGCGTCACCTCGCCTTCCTCTCTTTCGATTTTGGAGTGAAAATGGAGAAACGCTGCATGGACTCACAAGTCAAAGGAGTCAGCACAGGGGTGAGTAAATCCGGACCGGTTCACTACGATCCGTTTCTAATGAGGCAGCACCAAAGCCTATTTACACTTAAAAATGATCTATAATCGATTTCGCGTACGAACAGGTGATGCTGTACCTGAATAGTAACCTGGTAACCAAGTAAAGTTACATCGACAGGATGTTCCAGGTGTTTTAGTATGAGTACATGTAATATATTATCTCTAAACGAGTTTATTCTTTATATTTCTAAAGAAAACGACTGGCTACACTTTCATTTTCAGTGCGAAAAAAACCCCTCCCACACAGAACTCCAAATCCCACAATTCATAGCCTTTTTCAGTTTGCATGAATGAAAATGAGGTCACGAGAAGTTAGTATGCCTGTGATAGTGCATTGTTATATTTTTCTTGTGTCATATTTGGCTTCGTCTACAATGTTGGAGAATCACAAATCACAACAACCCCCCCCTCCCCCCTTCCCCTCAGACCACCATCCTGGCTGCCATTTTTGATGGAGGGGTCGTGATCGGTTCAGATTCCAGGGCTTCAATTGGAGGGTGAGGATGTTGTGACACCACACTGAAGTTGCCTTCATTATTAAATACTGTCATACAGATAAGCAACAGCTTGATAACATGATAAACATTTAAAAAGATGAAACGCAAACAAAGTTGCTCATTGGATCAGAGCTGTTGAAGGATGTGTTTTTGAAGCAGAAAAAAACTTTACAAAGTACACTCAAAAGATCAATATTTTACCATAACATCTCTCAGAACTTAGTCTAAAAAGAAAAGAAAAATTTCAGGATCAGCCACTTTCTGTATTTTTCAAATCGTGAGCATCAAGTAATTACTGCTAATAATGTCTTTATTAACCACCTGTACCCAGTAAAAACTACATTTGACATAAACTTCAAAGCTTCAGTGAAGTTTTATGCTGTTTTCTATTAAGCTCAGTGGTGAAATGTAACTATTTACTCAAGTACTGTACTTACAGTACAATTATGATGTACTCAACTTCAGGATTTCCTTTTCAAGCTATGTCACACTTCTACCCCACAGATTTTTACATGTATAACACACGCTCCTTTGGCAGTTTATTAGGAACACCTATTGTAGCTAAAACAACTGCAGTCTAGTAAAACAGTCCTACAATAAATCCTCCCATCATGAAGGTTATAATGTTCATTTTTTTATTACCTCTGTCAAGGAGGTGTTGTCCCCTGTGTCTGTTGGTTTGTTGGTTTGTTTATTTGTCAGCAGGATTAGGCAAAAAGTACTGAACTGATTTACACCAAACCTGGTGAAGGGATGGGGAATAGGCCAGGGAACATTCAGTTTTGGGGCAAATCTGGTTAAAGTGGCAAATCCAGGATATTTTTTAAATATAACTTTGATTAAAGGAGCTATTGTACATTTTGCTATTGCTACATGGCCAGTATCAGCATTAACAGCTGTTTACTCACCAGTCTTGACAAGAGAGAGTTACAGAACAAGATGTTATAATACTACCTCTGAGCAGTGCTACCTTCAGGGCAGACTGGACGCTACAGTGATGAGAAATGGTAAAGTGATGAGACAGGTAAACTAGGCCAGGGCTAGCTGGTTAGCATGCTAACTTCAGTAGAGGAAGAGAAATAATAGAAATAGAAGCAAAACAAAAGGGTTATTTTCCATTGCTGGAGACAGCTGCTGGTGAGTAAAGGAAAGAAGTTTAATGCTTCACGCACAACATTTGTACCAGACTGGTAAGTAAACGTGTTGGCTAACTTACAAATAGCATTTTTCAATAATAATGCAGGAACTTTGATGTAAAAAAAATCAGATCCATTCTGATCCAGATCAGAAGATTATCCATTGTCATCTATGATTTTGTACAATTTGGTGAAGATCCAAATAATAATCCAGATTCTGTGGAGCTAGACAGGAGGACGCTGCAGTTTGTGGTGCTGTTGAACTGTGCTTGTGTTCATTCTCACCCTCTCTTCAGGGAATATGTATCATCTAAGACCATCAACAAGGTGATTCAGGTTCATGACCGGATCTTCTGCTGCATGGCTGGCTCACTCGCAGACGCTCAGGCCGTCATTAAGACTGCTAAATTCCACCTGTCCTTCCACAGGTGCCACGCACACATATGAATGCATTTGCACATAGCACAAATATGCACACATGATGTAAGCACATGTCTACACACAACCAAAAGATATTGTTGTTGATCCTCCCTAACCCATAGCGTCCAGATGGAGACCCCTCCGCTGGTGATTGCAGCAGCGTCGGTGCTGAAAGAACTGTGTTACAAAAACAAAGAGGAGCTGCAGGCCGGCTTCATGACAGCAGGCTGGGACAGGAAGAAAGGGCCACAGGTAGGTAGTAGTTATTACTTAGTAAGTCCACCTTGCTTTATGTACATGTGCACTACTGATCTCCTCCATCCTTCCCCAGGTGTACGTGGTGTCCTTAGGCGGGATGTTAATCAGTCAGCCCGTTACCATCGGTGGCTCAGGCAGCACTTACATCTACGGCTACGTTGACGCCAAATACAAACCCAACATGAGCAGAGAAGAATGCCTTCAGTTTGCCACTAATGGTACTGTCATATTATTTTACTTATGTACACAAATTCAAATACATTTGTACTCGTTTTGTCAGGGTGTTTTACGTCAGGATTTGAAAAAGGATGAATATGAACAAGGTAGCAGAAAATGAGAATTCATAAAAAAATCTTTTGGTTTTCCACAAAAGTTCAACATCTCTATGTGCAGTCTTAAGTCATGAAGATGACTTGGAAAAGTATTAAAGTACAAGTATGAAAATGTTACCTACTATGAGAGGTTGGATTAATATTCAGAGGAAGGAGTTCAGACTTAGAGGAGAAATCTTCTGTTTGCACTTTGGAGAAAGAGTTCATGTAAATTAGATGTTTGTTGGTGGATCAGTAGTTGTAGTCTGGAGCTGTGTAAATGTTACAAACTGTTCAGCTTGACCTGCTGTAAATATCCCTGCATCTTGTTCCTGTCCGTCTTCCTTTGTCTTCCTCCCTCCTCTGCCCTCCCTTTACCTCATCCCTCTCTTCCTGTGCTGCAGCTCTTGCTTTGGCCATGGGCAGAGACAACGTCAGCGGGGGCGTGGCTCACCTGGTGGTGATCACGGAAACCGGGGTGGAGCATGTGGTTGTGCCTGGTGACAAGCTGCCCAAGTTCCATGATGAGTGACCACCTGACACAGTTGAAATATATTTTCTTGTATGGTGGAGTAATTATTTGGATTCCCTAAGCCACAACTTTATTACTAATCTGCTCTGTCAAATCACACACACACACACACACACACACACACACACTCACCTGAAGAACAGGTTAGACACGTGGATTTTTAGTTTGTTGCCTGCACATGAGTAACTGTGATCATATGTGGAAACATATTTGAGTTTGTGTTTTTATGCTCTGATTCAAACTCTATTCCAAGGCCACGGTCAACACTGTCATCATTTCCATTATAAAACCAGGTTTCTGTCTGCCTTCTTATGTGTCCAGGTCACGTGTTGTGTTGTTTTTTTAACATATGGAAATATGTGAAATAAAAATGAATATTTTCCAAAACTTTATCATTCTTCCTCTTTTTTTCTTTCCTTACTTCAGTTCCGTGCTTCAACATATCTTTAAGGATTTGTGATGTGTTCCTGTTCTTGTTTATATATTGTTAATATCTATATCTGTTTATTGATTTTTATTTCTTAATATTTTTAATACAAATATTTAGTGTTTGTGGCAGTGCGATGCCTTTGTGGCAGTTAGTTGTACCATTAAAAAGTGATGCGCACTCCTCGCTGATTTGTAAAGTAGGTAGCCTTGGTTTCAGTGAAACAGTCGTTTGAGGCTATGACTGGTGCACAGCTCGTTGCAGAGGAGGGAACCTTTAACTTTCAATTTCGATTTAGGAAAACATGGAGTCCGTCTGATGTTTGACTGTAGAATTGATTTGGTAAAACAGACAGTTCTGCAGCATTTTATAAAGTTTCCGACAACAAGGAAACGACATAAACCGGGACTGAACGCTTCGGTGTGACCTGTTCTCCCCTGCGGTCAGGTCAGGTAGAGTCGGTGCTGTCGCTGCCGGAGTCTCTGCATCATCATGTCGGGAGGAACCGGGCCAGAGTGGTTGTCTCAGGAGGTGAAAACCGGAGTAAGTAAAAGGTTTTTGAATGTCTCTGAGAGAGCGGGTGGTCTGATAATGTGTGAACCGCTGCTGTTGGCCCACTGCTGGGCCGCATGCGGAACTGACCGTTACAAGTGCAAGGTATTCATTCTGATCGTTTCCTCTGTTTGTAGACAACCATCATTGCCGTAGAGTATAATGGAGGGGTCGTGCTGGGCTCTGACTCCCGGGTGTCGGCGGGGTAAGTTGGTGCGTGTGAACGCGCGTGTGCGTGTGTTTCAGGAAAGTAACTAAGTACTGTACTTAGTGCAGTTTTGCGGTAGGCTACTGAGGCCTGCTTTATTGTGTGTTTCCACATGCTACTAAACACTTCTACTGCACTAGAGAGTTGGGGTTAGATTTTAACACGATGAATATAATCATCCTAGAAAACACATCACATTGTTAAAGATTAAACCAGTGACTTCCGGCACTTTTGCTTTTGTTTGCACAAAAAAGCAGTGTGTAGTAGGAGTCCATGGTCACGGTCCAGGGGTCTGTTTCAACTGTTCCAGGCTTAAAATGATCCAATATTTAACAAAACAAAGAAAAAAGTCCAACATGTGAACACAATGTGTTCTCATTAATCATCTTACAACCCCTCTGATTTAACTAGTGACCCTTTGGAGGGGCCTGACCCCCAGGTTGAGAACCACCAGACTGAAATACCTGATTGTATATAAACTAGTTGATGCTAACTCCACCCTGATGGCTCAGTATTAACTATCTAATAATGTCTTATATAATAATACATCAGTCAGAGGGGTGAAATAAGTTCTTTTACTTTGATACCTTAACTACATTTGTTGAAAACACTTCTGCACTTTTATTTAAGTAGGATTTTTTACGCAGGACTTGTATTAGTAACAGAGTATTTTTGAATTGTTGTATCGGTACTTTCACTTAAGTAAAGAATCTCAGTACTTCTTCCACCACTGTGTTTCTTTTCTGAAGCTTCTCAAGCAAACTAACCTAAAATCCTCTCCATCTCTCCTCATGCACAGTATGTCCTCTTCTTGTCTCCACCCGTCAATCACACACACTCTCTGTCCTCATCCCTCCATCCAGAGCATCAGTGGTGAACAGGGTGATGAACAAACTCTCTCCTCTCCATGACAAGATCTACTGTGCTCTGTCAGGATCTGCAGCAGACGCTCAGACCATTGCTGAGATAGTCAACTACCAGCTAGATGTCCACAGGTAAATACACAGTGAACGGAGACTGATGGACTTATTACTCTTTTATTAAACACATAATGGCAAGCTGTAGTCAAACTCTGACATGTGATACCTTCCTCATTTCAAATGTGCTAAAAAACTAGCAAGGAGGTATTTTCATATTTAATGTTTTCATCGTTCACATTAATTACTAAATTACTACTGGCAGTTTAAATATAAAGATATCAGTATCATATCAACCTTTAGAATACTCTAAATCACAATGCACATCGCTTTTGTCTTTCTCTTTTTATAAGATATTCTGTTCTTCTTCCGTCAGTACCGAGATAGGTGAGGACCCCCAGGTTCGCTCAGCTGCCACTCTGGTGAGGAACATCTCGTACAAGTACAAGGAGGAGCTGTCAGCACATCTCATTGTGGCCGGCTGGGACAGGAGAGATGGAGGGCAGGTCGGTAAACACATGTAGATGACTGCTGCCTGGAGGGAAGATATTAAGCTTTAGACTAGGAAGATAAAACAAAATTGTCCAAATGAATGTTTCTACAACTTTTGCTCGGCTGACCTTGAGGTCACTTGATATTTAGAGCAGCTGCTAATGTTTTGAAAGATATTATCTAGCCAACACACTTGATGTGATAGGTGTCGGTACAGGATTACATCTCACCCTGTCTTCTTCCTCTCTGCTCCTGTGCCCTTTGACCTCTCGCAGGTGTTTGCCACCCTGAACGGTCTCCTGACGAGGCAGCCTTTTGCAGTTGGGGGCTCCGGCAGCTCATATGTTTATGGGTTCGTTGATGCTGAGTATCGCAGGGGAATGAGCAAAGAGGAGAGTCAGAAGTTCGTTGTCAACAGTAAGTGTTTTGTTGTTGTTGTTGTTGTTGTTGTTGTTGTTGGGTGATGACAGAGAAGCCAGACATTTGCTCCTTCTTGGATCAATCATTCTGTTATTTTATTTAATGTGATATTAGACATTTTGTCTGATGAAAACTAAATCATGTGTTCAGTCTCCTCACCGGTCTCACCTCCCTCTCCTTCTTGTAGCTCTCTCTTTGGCGATGAACCGCGATGGCTCCAGTGGCGGCGTGGCCTATATCGTCGCCATCGACGAGCACAGCACAGAGGAGAGAGTCATTCTTGGAAATGAATTACCGACCTTCTTTGATCAGTGATCAGTATATGGCTTTTCTATCTGTAGTGTGCGAAGCCACTGAAATGCTAAATGCAGTTAGGCGTTTGTTTTCCTCACAATAGCCATAGCTCATTTTTGACTCACCTGTCAACTTCTCAACTGTTAACTCAGCTTGTAAACTGAATGTTGGACAAGTATACTTTACTCATCATTCTAATAAAAGAATAAAAACCTGTACCCCTCTCCAACTCCAAAAGCTATTTCAAGTGTGTTATCAGGTGGCTTTTGCTTGCTCACACACACGGCTCATCATTGAAAGACTTTGAAATACAACAAAAAGAAGCTTCCAATAGGTGACATTGATTGATTTGCCTGTTGAGTTCACTGACACTAGGTAGCTGTTAATGTCAGACCATGCATGTAACTCACCAGAGGGATGATGGTGGACTTTTTGTCAGCTCAGTCTCTTGACCAGAGACTCTGACTATCAAACAGTCTGTTTCTCTAGACAAGGGGTCATTCAAGGCCACGCCAGTCTCTTCAACCTGCTGCCTTATTCTGTCAATGAGCCTGTTGCATGACAACAGTGCAACCCATAATTTGTTTTAATGGGCCTGAGGAACTAAAGGTGAATTAACAAAACCTGTAGAACCCCTTATATTCCTTAAGCCTCACTATGGATACTCCCACATGTTCTCAGCAGCTGTCTGAGGAATTCATTCTGACAAACATATCGCCAAAAAGGGAAAGTTAAAGCTGTTACACCACTGAAGGATTATGGCACCCATTTTCTCTGCACTTGACAGTAGTTTTGTTTAATCCCAGTATTAAGATAAGATTTTTGGTCATGCTGCATGATCTGAACTGGAAATGTATTAAATAATTAAATAATTAGTCCATGTTATGTTCGAATGAAGAATGAAGAATGATGTTGCAAACACCAACTGTGAATGTTATGAAGTTTTCATCCAGGATAAGGATCTGGCTATTTAGAAGGAATAATAATAATAATAAGAAGAAGATTATGATGATGATGATGATGATGATGATGATAATTAGTAATAGTTCACTTGTGTAACCACTCAGTTTAAGCATCTTAAGCTGTGTCTCACTGCAGTCTTTGGTTTTGAGCTGCAGTGTTTCAGGGAAACCCCTGCTGCTGCCAGATAATGAAACTGAAAGTGAATGAAAACTAGAACTGGTCTCGCGGCAGAGCAGGTCATACGAGGACGGCTGCTGCTGAAAAATGGCAGAAAATAAATTCATCCTCCACAAAGTCGCTGCTTTGATTTTAGCAGTTTGCGTCGACCTGTCCTTGTTTTACGCATCGGGACTGGTAGTGACGCACGGCGTCTTTGGACATCTTGTCCGTCTCTGGGTTTCTGCGGCTCTCCGGTGTGTGGCACTAACTGCTGTATGTCTGCTCACAATCGGACACTTCAGGCCGTTGCTGGTTCGTATTATAGCTGCGCACAGTCTGCTCCCCGCGGTGTTTGAGACCGGGACCAAGGCGCTCTACCATGAGGAGAGCCAGTGCGGCCAGCTGGCGGGTATGCGCTGCTGGCTGCTGTGCACCGCAGCGTCGCTGGCTGCCGCACTGTTTTGGGAGATCACCATCCCGGACACCGACGAAGCGGCCGCCGGTAAAGAGACAAAGCAGAAGGCTAGAGATCTGTTTATGAGAGTCCTCCGGCTGTTCAGACCCGACTATCCCCTGCTGCTGGGAGGGTTTGTGTTCTTGTCCCTGGCTGTTCTCTGTGAGTACAGATGATGATGATGATGATGCTGCTGATGATGATGATGATGATGATGCTGATGATTTCAGTCTAAGGTAGTGATGCTAAGATAATGATGCAGACTGATACAGATATGAGAACAGTGAAAAGTATTATTAAAAACACTCATGATTTTAATTATTAGCATTATTAGCATTATTAGCATTTTAAATTTTGAGTCTCACTGTTGGAATATAAACACTGGCCTAGGAGGAGTTGTCACTCTTGGTATATACAGGACTACATTCATGATAATCTGATGTATGCTCTTTGTATGTGTCTGTCTGTGTACCTGTGTGTGTCTCTTCTCAGGTGAGATGTTCATCCCGTTCTACACTGGCAGAGTCATTGACATCTTGGGTGGTCAGTTCCAGCAGAGTGAATTTATATCTGCACTGCTCTTCATGGGCCTGTACTCTCTGGGAAGGTATGGCACAATGTTTTCCCTCCACAGTCAGCCAGCAGCCTGTGTCTGTGGCTCACTGCTTATATCTAACTGACTGTGTCTTTGATTATTCAGCTCTGTGAGTGCAGGCTGCAGAGGGGGTCTTTTACTTTGTGCCATCAGTTCCTACACATGCAGAATGAAAGTCAAACTATTCGAGGCTTTGACCAAACAGGAAATTGGATTCTTTGAGACCATAAAGACAGGTAAGACTCAGTTCTGATGTGTGTTTAATTTTTAGGTGCACGTGAAGGGCAGAAGTCAGGTCGAGATCTAACATTACGTAAAAAGACAGGACAAGATTAGACAGGGCATTTCAGGACAAAACTAAAATGGCTGTCAGTAGAGCGCATACTTCTGCCAAGGCCAAACAATCCTACACATCAGTGACATATTATCTGTATCTGCGCCAAATTGTACAAATTTATAGATCTCCATAAGCCTGAGTTTTTACATCAAGATCCATGCGTTATTTCCTGAGAAATTGATTAACATGTTGAAAAATGGCCTATCTCACAATGACAAGGAAAGTGATGAAACATTCCTGGATCCGCTCCTTTAACTAGATCTGCTCCAAAATTTAATGGACTCTTCCCTGGCCTATGCCCCATCCCTCCATCAAGTTCAGGTTTAATGCAGGACTATTGTATTAGACTCCATTAGTTAAGAGAGGGGGTGGCACAGTGCGGTGGTTAGCACTGTTGCCTCACAGTGACAAGGTTCTGGGTTTGAACCTCAGTGTGGAGTTTGCATGTTCTCCCTGTGTGTGGGTTCTCCCCGGGTACTCTGGCTTCCTCCCACAGTCCAAAGACATGCACAGTAGGTTAATTGGCGAGTCTAAAGGGCCCATAGATGTGAATGTGAGCATGACTGATTGTTTTACTCTATATATCAGCCCTGTGATAGACTGACCACCTGTCCAGGTCCAGTCCTGTCCCCCGCAACCTTATAAGGACAAGCGGTATAGCTGATGGATGGGGGATGGATAGTTGCAGAGGCAACAACACAGAATGAGACAATGCAGGTCAGGACAGGATAGGACAAAGCATTTTGAACAAGACAGGTCAAGCTAGACATAAGATGGGACAAGACAAGTAGACACAGGACAAAATAAAACAGGACAGACGAGAATGTAACAAGACACAACATACGACAGAAAGACAGAGGATAAACTCTTAATTTTCTGTGCAGGTGAAATCACATCCAGGTTGTCTAAGGACACCACCCTGATGGGAAGAACAGTGTGCCTGAATGTCAACGTGCTGCTGAGGACATTCATCAAGACGGTGGGTATGATCTCCCTGATGATGAATCTGTCATGGAAGCTGACATTCCTCGTACTGATGGAGACACCAATCACTGGCCTCATTCAGAACATCTACGACACACACTACCAGGTAAAAGAAATTATTTTTTCAATGTTTCAGAAAATCAGAAAATATTTTGCCCTGATTTGAGACAACCTATTCAAGTTAAGTTAAATCTCATTGATGTACCCATTCTCCTTTGTTATACCTTCCTCAGAGGTTGTCCCTGGCGATGCAGGGCTCACTGGCTTTAGCAAATGATGCAGCAAGCGAGGTGGTATCCAGTATTCGTGTGGTACGGAGCTTTAACACAGAAAAACATGAGGCCCGTCGCTATGACGACCGCTTGATGGACACACATGCCCTCAAGACTCGCCGGGACATAGTCTCGGCTGTTTACCTGCTGGCACGGAGGGTAAGAAGCTTGTCATACTTAGTGAAACTGTGTTTTTGGGAGATCAGGTGATGTTGAGCCTATCATTGTATATTACCTTATTTAACAGTATTTGTTCCTTTCTGTGTGTCTTTCTATAGTTGACAGGGTTGGGCATGCAGGTCTTCATGTTGTACTATGGCAGGCTGTTCATCCGGAGTGGACAGATGACCACGGGCAATCTTGTTTCCTTCATCCTCTACCAGTCAAACGTTGGAGACAACATAAGGGTATCCCATAATGCTCTGTGGATTGTTGTCAGTCAGGGCTGGAAACTGCAAGCAACAAAAAGCAGTAGCTAGTTTAGGACTTTGGCAAGGACCACAGTATTTATTTAGCATATGTCATACACAAGAGACTCAGCTCAATGTGCTGTACAAAAGCATATGAAAAAGTTAAAAATACAAAAATTAAGAAGAGCNTATGACGACCGCTTGATGGACACACATGCCCTCAAGACTCGCCGGGACATTGTCAGGGCTGTTTACCTGCTGGCACGGAGGGTGAGAAGCTTTTATTACTTTGTGAAACTGTGTTTTCGGGAGATCAGGTGATGTTGAGCCTATTATTGCATATTACCTTATTTAACAGTATTTGTTCCTTTCTGTGTGTCTTTCTATAGTTGACAGGGTTGGGCATGCAGGTCTTCATGTTGTACTATGGCAGGCTGTTCATCCGGAGTGGACAGATGACCACGGGCAATCTTGTTTCCTTCATCCTCTACCAGTCAAACGTTGGAGACAACATAAGGGTATCCCATAATGCTCTGTGGATTGTTGTCAGTCAGGGCTGGAAACTGCAAGCAACAAAAAGCAGTAGCTAGTTTAGGACTTTGGCAAGGACCACAGTATGTCATACACAAGAGACTCAACTCAATGTGCTGTACAAAAGCATATGAAAAAGTTAAAAATGCATGTTGTAAATAAAAAAATTAAGAAGGGGGGCGTTGAAGGGGCTATTTGTAAGTTTTGCTATTGCTACATAGCTATCATTAGCATTAACACCTGTTTACCTACCAGTCTTGCCAAAAGCTTCAGCCATCATTGCATTTACAATACAAGAGGTTAGAAGCAGTGCTACTTCTTCAGGGCAGTCTGGACACTACAGTGACTCGGTATTGGAAAGTGACTTGACATGCTGGAGCTAACTGGTTAGCATGCAAACTGCAGTAGAGGAAAAGCTGTGACAGTAATAGAGCAAAACAAGAGGGCTGCTGAAAGTTTGATGCTGAACTTTTCATGCTCTCAATGCTAATGTTGGCTATGTAGCAATAGCAAAACGTACAAATAGCTCCTGTAACAACTGCTTGGTTAAAATGAGCATACACATAAGCTCTACTAAAAATGTTTTGAGGTTGCTTTTAAATGAGTATGAGCTCTTGTGTCAACAGGTAGACAGCAAG